ATGTAGACACATCTTTTTACCTAATTAAAGCTAAGCCATCACTGCCAAAGCAGATGACTGAATGCTCCCCTGATAATTGAGTGTGCTCACTGCAAAGAATATAAAAAAGCACAGAAATGACTTTTCAGCAGAATTTTGTTTTTTAATAGCACAGTGGGCACACTAAAATCATTCAGCAAATGGCATACTATACTGGATGCTAAAAATAAATGAACTGAAGTTCCTGTTTTCAAGATCTCTCCCTTCAGACTCAGCTACATTAAAAATACACAAAGAAGCTTTTAAGGGAACTTATGTTCCTACTGTTTATTCATAATTTCTCCCAGAGACCCATTTCTTCTCCCAGAGTGGAAATTTTCTCTATTTCCTTATATTAATATCCCACTGATAAGATACCTCCAAGGAATATTAGATCTTAACAGGTTAACGATTGTGGCTAATTGTTTAACTTCATGAGATAAAATTTTTTCTATAATAAAATTCACTTTTAGGTGTACAATGTGATGAGCTTTGACATACGTATACACCCAAGTAACAACCACCAAAATCATACCAAATGTTTCTATCACCCCACCCCTCCCCTGCAGGTTCCCAGGTTCCTCTTTACGGCCAACTCACTTTCCCCCATTTCCTGACCCCTGATTGGTTTATCACTATACTTTTGCTTTTTCTAAAAGTTCATTCAAATAGAATCATAAATAAGTATATTATTTCTAGCTTATTTCAATTCGTATAATGCTTTTGAAAGAATTGTCCACATGGTTTCTTGTGCCAGGAATTCATTCCTTTTTATAGGTAAGTAGTAACACATCATATGGCTATATGACAATTATTTATCAATTCACCAGGTAATAGACGTTTGGTTCTTTATAAGGTGTTGTTGTTGTTATTGTTAGTAAAGCTAACATTCAAGTACAACCATTCAAGTACATGCCTTTGGGTGAGCATATGTTCTCATGGGTCATACAGTAAATGCATGCTTAACTTTATATAAAATTTTTATATTGTATTCTGGCACCTATTCCTGAACAGATCTGCTTCAATTTCTCAGTTAAATGAAAAAAAAACCATCCACCCATAACAATTAAAGTTATTGATACCACTGAGTAATACAAACCACTGACAGAAGAATTGATTATAAATATCGAGCACTCATTATGGGTGTGTGCTGCAGGATATGGGAAATAGAGCTCAGTCTGATGAGAGAACCGTTACACGATTTCAAAATAAGTATGCTTACCTGTTGTGAAACCTAAAAAGTATTTTAGAGTCCTGCTATTCAGAGTGGGGTCCAGGGACCTGTAGTGTTGGCATCACCTGGGAACTTGGCAGAAATAGAGAATCACAGCCCCACACCCTTGATCCACTGAATCAAATCTGCAAGACCCTCAGGTGATCTGTGTTTGAGAAGTACTAATGGAAAAGGTCAGAGGAAAGAGAAGGTCAGGGATTCACAAAAAGGGTTTCTGAGAAGAACTGGAAGCTCATTCTAAGTTCCCTACTATTTCCTTTAAGTCTTTTAGACATGATCTTTTAAATTTTCCAACCAACAGAACTTCCTCTGAGAAAGCTAGTCAGATTCTCTCTGAAAGTAAGTGGCTTTGAGAAAAATGTCCCTCACATTCTAGGGAATATTTGCGGTTGCCTTGTAAATTCCCTACACATTTTCAGTCCCATACTGTTTCCAGTCTTAGCCTTCCACTTACTACCACGATCACTACGATACTACTGGCATTTCTGACAGGAAATATACACAACTCCTCTCATTATATCTACAGGACACACATTTCATTCTGCATTGCCTAAAACGGTCAACTGAATCACCACCCCAACCTTTACAACAGCATCTCCACTTACTGTTATTCACAACTTGAACCCCAAAAGAGACAGCCAGGATTTAGAACAATCGAAAAACTTGCCCAAGGGGACCTCACTCACAAGGAGCAGAGTTGGTAGCGCAGAACATTTTAATGTGGACTTTTCCCCGGCACAATTCCAGTCTCATGGGGGGTGCACAGTAATGGCCCACTAGTCTTTGTTTTGTTCCAATCCTCTCCGGCCTCCATGGTGTTCAACTTCGGAACCACCTCCTTCAGGTGGCACTCACTGGCCTGGGTCTCACCTCTCTGCTTATGTGTCTTGGCCTCTTCCCCTTTGGCACACCATTTATGGGCGTTCCCAAGCTCTTATCTTAATGCTGCTTCCAAAACCCACATGCTCATTACTTCTCAGCTTCTAGCAATGGTCTCTAATCTTCCTTCTCTTTAAACCAGCCCACCTGCTGTACCTCATGTAAAATCCTTACAGCCCAGCTCTCACTCTGTCACCCCGCCCTACAGGAAAACTTTCAGTGGCTTCCCATTGTCTGCCAAATAAACATAAAATCACTTAGCCTGGCATTTAAGACTTTTATAATTTGGTCCTTCCACCTTCTCATCTTCCTCTTCATGCAGTTTATTCTTTGCAGGCAGCAGCCTAATTAGGCATTAAGGTTGCCTGCGTGGCAATCAGACCCCTTGGGTTTGAGTCTCAGCTCTACATATCTGGCTAACCATAGGAGCCTGAGAAGTTGCTTAACCTCTTTACATCTCAGTGTCTTCAGCTGTAAAATGGGAATAATACCACCTAATAGAGCTACTGTAAGTAGTAAATATAAAGCACTCAGGTAAAAGTCTGGCACATGGGAAAGACTCTCCCAACCTTGTTCTAATTCTCCATTTAAAACTAATGAAATATCAGCTACCCATATACCAAGCCCTTACTAAAAAAAGGAACTTTGTGACAACCTGGCAAAGACCCTAAAGAACTAGTGACATTGTACTAATAATAGCCTCAAAAGATTAAGCTTCATTGCTATGCTAGCTGTTTCTGCACATTCATTTCAATATTTCAAAGCAGATAGGAAGCCTTATTCATCTCCTTCTGAATACAAAATGAAAGGCATTCAAGATAGTAGTAATTCATTAGCAAAACTCATGCTTGAATGAGACCCTATTTCTGGCTACAGAAGCTATACCTTTTTATGCTTGTCATAATAAAACTGCTCTTGAGTTTTAGCAAAAACAAACAATGCAGACTTGGAACCAGCATATCAAATTTATGTCTTGAAGCAAGAAATAAAATCAATAACTCTGCAAATAATTTGAATTGACAAATAGCTGTCTCTGACGCCGTTATACTGTTGAGAAGGATTCAAGCATTGTGTTCTGGATTCAGAAGGAAATACAGTACCAGGGCCAATCAGCAATGTCTAACAAGGTAAGGATGAAGAGCTGAGTATCTGTCAGCCCTAGAGGATGGGGGCAGAAATGAAACACTGCAGCAGATGGCAATTTTAAAAATAGCTTATATTCTGAACATTTACATAATAGAACTGTTTAAAATATTCTACAGATGCAATTATTTTAATCCTCAAAACTACCCTTTGAGAAAGGTACCATTGTCATCCCTATCACACAAATGATGACCCGAAAGCACAGAGAAATTCTAACGTCCTCAAGAATACCCAGGCAGTAAGGGGCAGAGCTGAATTTGAACGCAGGCACACACCAGAATCCATTATGATATAAAGACTCAAAAATATTTCCAGGTGATGCCAAGAGATGTACAGATTGGTGGGAAAGACAGTTCTACAAATACCCAAGATGATTACAGCTCGGATTCCATTAAATTAAGATATATCTGGAAGTAAGAAACCTGAAGATCCAGCCTTATGTCCAGGCTAAGTTTGTGGTACTCAATAGTTTTGCAAGCCCAGTGGCCCAGGACACTGGGGAAGGGCTTTGAAGCCACTCATGAATAATCTCGGTGTGAACAAAGAGCTCAAGAGAGTCCCAAGGACCAAATCCCAAAAGCATTGCAAATGACCAAATTTGCCAGGACCACTAAAGCATTATGTGCTCAGTCAGTGGGTGTCCTTCACAAAACTATTTTCAAACAAAACAGTAACGTAACAAATTTACTAGTGGAATAACTGCTTTCTGATGAACCTTAACAAATCGGAAATACTATACAGATGCATGGGGCTATACAGAAACATGGAGATAATTCCTGATGGACATTTGAGCTCCCAAGCTTTCTCAGAATAAATTTATGAAGTGAGTCTTAAATTTGTACATGGGTTCAGGAACGGTAAGGAGAATATGCATAAAAATTATATTAAGATACTTTAATAAAATTATTATTAATTGTAGCATTTAAGGACAGAGAGGGAACTAGAGTCCATTCTATTGAGAAAACAAGGCCCAGAGAGGGCAAGCATCTTGCCCATGGTTACACAGCTTAACAGCAGTTTCTATAATACATGTGCTGCATGTAATGTCCTAGTTTTAACTTCAGCATTTTATTACTCTTTAACTTCCATACTGATTTAGAACAGTCCCAAACAAGACAAATTCACACTGAGAATAAAAATATTTAAGAAGTGCCTGGCTGTCTCAGTCAGAAGAGCATGAGACTACTGAGCTTGGGGACGTGAGTTTGAACTCCACATTGGCGTAGAGATTACTTAAACAAACTTTAAAATAATAATTATATATATTTAGCATTATTATTATTACTTCCATAGCTTAACTTTGGGATGTGCTGACCAGTCACTGGTTACTTTAATAGTCTCATGGGCCCTCTGGCCACATGTTGAACTAATAAGAGATAAATTAACAGACAGCTGTATATAAAGAAGGAGAGGGTGGGGCGCCTGGGTGGCTCAGTCAGTTAAGCGTCTGACTTTGGCTCAGGTCATGATGTCACAACTCGTGGGTTCGAGTCCCACATCAGGCTCACTGCTGTCAGCCTGTCAGCACAGAGCCAGCTTCAGATCCTCTGTCCCCCTCTCTCTGACCCTCCCCTGCTTGTGCTCTCCCCAAAAAATAAATATTTTTTTAAAAATAATTAAAAAATAAAGTCACCTGCTAGAGGTGGCAACATTGTATACGAACACTTCAAATGTTCACACTCACATCTAAGAAGTCTGAGACAGTGGTAGTGTTCCCTTGGCTTACCTCCACTATTAGGAATCTGTTTCGCAAAGGCTCTCTGCTCCTGAATGTGAAGGACGTAGTACGGGTTCCAGAGGCCCGGGAGTCCGTCTGCAAAATTGTTGGAGCCTCTCTGCTAGGAATAATCCAAAACAAAGAGTTGTGCTGCTGCTTCACTTGCAAGTGCTGAAATAAAACACAAAGACAGCATGCTTCTTAAGAATAGGCTTAACTGCCCAAGGAAAACTTCAAGCTGTCAAAAAATCCTTAATGAACACATCTGGTAAACTCACTTCGGACCCTTCCCAAAATGCTTTACCGGATGATGAAATTCCCAAGAAGCAAAACAAAAAACCCAAGAGCAAAACCAGCAGCCTATGTTACATTACTATAGTTCATGACTGGTTATCCACAGGATCTGGCTCAGTGTCCTTGAAAAAAAAAATAACACATCCAGCTTAATTAATCCAAAACAACCTGGTAATGAAAGAACCATCTGTCTTATTTTTCAGCTTCTCTCCACACATACACACAGCTTTATTGTTAAATGCAGAGGTGAGGGAGGTGAGAGACGAGCTTGCTCCGAAAATTCTCTGAGGAGGAAGGGAAGGGAGACGGGAGAATGAGGAGGTCAAGACGAATTAAAATGTCTAGAAGAACGTGAGGGGAAAGGAAGCATGGAGAAATTTGTGTGAAGAGCAACCAGTTTAAGAATGTGCTGTGGGCTACTTTCTCAAAAAAAAAAAAAAAAAATTGAAAAAAAATCTCAAACTCCTCTTGCTACAGCTTTTCTTACACAAGACCAACCCTGATACAAAAACAAAACCAAGACTGCATGCTGTGCACTTGTGTTAGTAGAAAATATGTTATTTAAAAACAATTCTTAGGAAACAAATTAAAAACAAAACAAAACAAAAATATGGCAAATACTTTATTTCAGAAGCCACTATGAACTCTAATGTCCTGCAATAAGGAAATATTTGTGCTTAACTATTATGAAAATCATATAATAACATAAAAAATATTTAGATTCCACCAAGAAGGAAAACATTTAAATGCTGAGAACACTAAGATTATTTCTATGTGTGTGTGACCCATTACCAAAAGACACTGGAGAAAAATGAAATCCATTGATGTGCTGAGTTGTGGATTACAGGGAATTTTTTTCTTTGAAAATGAAAATTTATAGACAAAAAAATGCTAATTTTCACTTTTGAAATATCAAGTAGTTGATGCATTTAGAAGTTAGAAGAAAGGCAAAGTAGTGCTTTTTAGTAGCTATTATAATGGAAGTCTCTACCATGAAACGGAATTTTGAGCCTAAGGAAATTATGGATAATTGTACATTTGTGCCCCAGAGTCATTCTCCTTAAATGCAAATAAAGTGCAGCTCCTGGGTTTCTATCATCTTCTACCCAGTAGTACTTATCAGCAGCTGAAGTAAAAGAGCAATCACAATTTTAAAGTTGGAAAGATCCTTTAAAATGATCTACTCTGAAGAGTTGGTAAAGAAACCCCAAACAGTACCACACCAGGAACAGCTGAAGGGATGGGGACTTAGTTACACCTGGAGGAGCTTAAATCAAGGGAGGAAACAAGATGGCCCATTCTCATGTTTGAATGACCTTCATGAAGAAAAGGCATTAAGTTGGTTTGAAGGCTGGGGGGCCGCGCCCGCCCCCAAGTTGTTAAGCCAAAACCAGGGAATGCAATATTCAAGAAGTTAGTTCTGAGCTCAGTAGGAGGGAACTTGCTAATATTTGGGCTGCCTAAAGATGATACAGGTTGAGGGGCGCCTGGGTGGCGCAGTCGGTTAAGCATCCGACTTCAGCCAGGTCACGATCTCGCGGTCCGTGAGTTCGAGCCCCGCGTCGGGCTCTGGGCTGATGGCTCAGAGCCTGGAGCCTGTTTCCGATTCTGTGTCTCCCTCTCTCTCTGCCCCTCCCCCGTTCATGCTCTGTCTCTCTCTGTCCCAAAAATAAATAAAAACGTTGAAGAAAAAAAAAATTAAAAAAAAAAAAAAAAAAGATGATACAGGTTGACTGATTGGATAACGAAGTCACTTGTTACTGAAGGTATTTTGTCCTAAGAACCACTTGGGATACATTTGGACAGTAGTGCTTAACCAACTTGAATGTCCACTGGTATCACGTGAACATCTTGTTAAACTGTAGATGATGACTCAGTAGGTCTGGGGTGGGGCCTGAGAATCTGCATCTGAAGCAACCTGCCAGGTGAGGCAAAGGGTCAAGACTGTGGGTCTTGAGTGTCAAGGATATAACTTGATTACACACATTAGAATGTTATTTAAACCTGTGCCCCCCAAAGCACACAGAGTCTTCTAACCATATGACTTCAAAAGTATTCTCCAGTCTTGATCTGGGGGCAGATGACTATAAATAAATAGGTTAAAGGGTAATTAGGACTTTGTGAGTCCACACATCCAAAATTTTACAAAGTTTGTATCTTGGTATCTTGCAGTGACTGCCGCAATCATACTTTTGAGAGCAACTAATTTTGCGCAATTCTAAAGAAGAGATGTTTTACTTCCATTTAAAAAAAGTAAGGGGTGCCTGGGTGGCTCATTCGGTTAAGTGTCTGACTCTTGACTTCAGCTCAGGTCGTGCATGATCTCACAGTTCATGAGACCAAGTCCCAAGTCGGGCCCCGCACTGACAGCACAGAGCCTTGTTGGGATTCTCTCTCTCCCTCAAATAAAACAAACAAACAAATGATGCTCATGCCCCAAGTTTGGCAAATACTTGAAACCGAGTAACTGTGTTGTGATTGATGAATGACTGACTGAACAGACACTCAGCATTCAAAAATGCAGTTACTTATTATTTCTACTTACGATTCTACAGTTAACAGAGAAATAGAATGGAGAAAACATGGCTACAAATTTTTCCCAGTGACCTGTTATAAAATTGTGTGTCTCCAAAGGTGGGGAGGAGGTAAGTCTCCCAAGGCTACAATTTGTGGTCTTCTTTTTCAGTGTAGGGCTTTATATTATTTACCTGGCCCTGAATTTCACCTCTCTGCTATCCATCAGAGTCATAAAAATTCCTTCAGTGTTTTGCAAGTCCCCGTTTCTAGCTCTGCTCCCTGACTTATCTGATAAAACTGGACCTGAATCAGTTCAAAATCCTATGTGATGTCTTTCCTGGAGAAATATGCTAATATCTGAACACACAGACTTTCCTCAAACTTTAAAGTGTTCTCACGTTTCTCTCCCATAGTAAATAAACCAAGAACTGAGAGGAAACCCATTTCCTGCCCTTCTTCTGACTCTGAAAGTCCCCCTTCCAAAGGGTTTGCTGTTTTACTTTGCTTAAACGTTGTTTCTGATTTATGAAAATCAGATTTATGAAATCTGATTTATGAAAGCCCTTTTTTTCCAAACTGCTTATTTACTTTTCAGTTAATTCTGAATGAACTTAGCTTATTCTGTCCCTTGGGAAGTAGCATCTGTTTGTTAATTCCTCCTTTGCTAATTTTAAAAGAAAAAAAGTGAATTAGCTTGAGGGTAAGCAATCAAATGAACATACATAAAATCGAAATTTAAGTGTTGGAAATTCTTCTGCTCTCCACAGCACATAAAAATCTGTGCTTATATTATTATCCATCAGAGGATTCTCTAAAGCCAAGTTACAAACACGATGCAAATCTTAATTTGGGGTACTTTATAATATTATTACAAACAAACCAATGCATGTGATTTTTTTATGTAAGTAATTTTTTTTATGAAATCATATAATCCTAGATTTACTTCCTAATACCAGTAGGTTTAATCCTTTTGGCAAAGTGAGTCAAATTTATTTCCTGATAAAATTAACTCTGAAAGTTTCTACCTCCTACAATAAGTGTTGAAGTGATCAATAAAAAATTTCTCAATGCCTATTCTATACCAGACATTGTTCTAGGAACTAAAGATAAAGTAGTGAAGGGGGAAAAAAAAAGAAGTTTACAATCCAGGAGAGAGGCAGGTATTAGCAAGAAGTTCACAGCTAATTATTAAGTTACAATATTGGTATGGCTAAAAACTGACCCAGCTAGGGAAAGACAGGGAGCTTCTTCGAAGAATTTGGGGGAAATTCTCAGAGAACTCTACTCAAGAGTTAACCAGATGAAATAGGGTGAAAATGAAAAACATTCCGGGCAGAGGAAACGGCATTTGCAAAGATTCTGAGGTAAGAAGGAAAGCTTCACACGGAAGAACTGAAGCCGCCGATGGGAGTAATGATGAAAACAGTTAATAGCTAGTCTTGGCGGTGTGCCTACCCGACCGCAGGAACTCACAGATCGCACACAGCACTGGCATGGGCGCCGTTACTCTAACTCTGCACATAAGGACACAGAAAGGCTTGGAGAAGTCAGCTTGTCCAACGTCTCAAAGCAGGAAGGTGTTTGGTCTAGGGACTCTGCTGCCTGGGTCCTTATTCTGTACCTGAGAGCCATCAGAGCTCCCCACGAGCAGGTCAACATGAAACTTTCCTCCTGTTCATGCATGCGCATGTGGGTTCCACTTTTTATTCACATGCACGCACACACATTCATAAACATTATATAGGATGTGACCTTGTTTTAAGTAATGTTTAACATTTACATGACAATTATATAATACTCTGAAATTTGCATTTGTCACTCTACTTTGAGGTCCATCCATATCGATGTGATGCAGAAAGGTCTAGTTCATTCTTTTTAAGTTCTGTAGAATATTCTATCAACCAAATGCATCACCAAGTTATCAATTCCCTACTAGCGGACATTTAGGTTGCTCTCAGAGAATTGCCTATATAAATGTTATTTTGGAGCCAAAGCTGTTTTGTTTTTCAATCTAGATAATAGATAATTCAATAAAATAATAATCTAGATAATTCAATAAAATAGTTTACTGAGACAGTGAATCTTACAAATGGCTAGAAATACTTTAAAACTGAAATTTCCCTTTTAAATGGGGTTTTCTCTAAAAACATAAATCTTTGATAATTCAAGTCAGGTAAAAATAACTAAATAATTAAAATGCTATGGCTCTCTCAAAAGGGGAAGTTAATAGTATTTTAAATGAGAAAATAAATTTCCAGTTAAGTCGAACCTATACTAATCCTGTTGCAAACAGAACATACTGAAGAGAAAGTAGATGCAGAAGACAGTCTGTATCTTACAACCACTTTCGCCTCCTGGCC